TGTCCTGTGACACTTTCTGTTTAAACAAAGTTTATAGAAAAAAATGTGTTTTATCTGGTCAGAGAAATAATAAAGAATAAATTTGTATCAAGACTCATCGCTTTGAGTCAGCAGCTTTCTAAACAGAGTTGGGCCTCAGTCCTTGTTGTTGTTGTTGGGGATGAATGAGCACTCCCCCACACTCACCCCGACCCCCTCTGCACCACCCACACTCAGCTTACTCACACTTGTGCTTGTCCGTGAAGGGAGCAGAGAGCCTCTAGGAAAAGACCTGTTTCCATTCAGACCGGATCATGTTTCAGCTCATGGAGCAGGGGGTAGTCATCTTGTATTATAAGCAGGGTTACCAGATTCAATGTGCATGCTGTCACTGTGCTGCTTTTGTTTAGCTCATGTTGACATTTAATTGCAGCTAATTAGCTGATATGATGCACAGATATTAAACCAGACTCTGGAATTAACCTTTGTTCCTACATCAGTCTATCTCATAAGCTTTGCGGTTATCCAGGTTTAATAGTCTTTTAAAATGAGATAAATCATAATCATAATACAAAAATAACATATATGCATGTTCTCTAAAACAGGCATTTCCAACCAGGGTTACTTGTACCATAATAGATAAACGACTATGTACAAATGTACATTGACATTTCAATTGTATGAAGAATTGTTGTAGCAATATCCATTTTTACATATCAATAGTGTTGTGTTGTTGTTGAATAATATCCAGTTTAACCCTTTGAGCAAATTGGCTTGATTTCTTTTAAGATCATGGGAAGAAGGGCATGAGCCAGTTAAAGTTAAAAGAAAATTGCCTGAAAATTAGCAACAAAAGAAAAATAATAATAATTAAAAAAAAAAAATGAACAAGGAAATGACTTTAAAAAAGGATAAAAATTTAAAAAAAAAAACCCATACGTATGTGTATTCCATTACATAAGTTTGAATATGTGATATTATATATAGATTAATTATAATAATCATACACATAGTTTTCTGCCCAGTCATTCATTCATTTTCCATAACAGCGTATCCTGATCTTCTGGACATTTTTTCCCTTTTTTTTTTTTTTTTTTTTAATAATTTTCTAAGATTTTAATCATTGATTTTCAGCTCATTTTCTCTTCAGCTTTTACAAGTTTTTAAAAATTTTTCCCCCTATTTTTTCGAGAACAAATCAAACTGATTTGCTCAGGTTTCAAAGGTTTAAATGCTCATCCAAGGCGTCTGAATGCAGCTCAAGAAAACTGATGTCGATCCAGGTTTCAAAGGGTTAAAGGGTTAAGGGAACAGAACAAAATCAAAAAATATTGTCCTCCTACCTGTGGTGCTTTTTATCAGTCTAGATTGTTTGGGTGTGAGTTGCTGAGTGTTGGAGATAATGGCAGTAGAGATGTCGCTCTTCTCTTGAATATAATGAAACCGTATCATGGTGCAGAAGGAAGAGTGCATCTACTGCTAGCTCACCTAGCACCACTGAGCTAGCTAATGTTACAGCTCAGCTGAGCAGGACACCGTTAATGCTTACATCTCGCACTGTCACAAGCACAAGCCTCTCATCAGAGTAGATGCACGCTTCCTTTTGCATGGTGATTTGGTTGGCGGGTGTAGTTCAGTGGAGAGAAAATAGTTCCTACGTGAAACTGATTATAACAAGTTCGGTTATCATTATTATTATTATTATATATCTGGATTAGCTGGGTCATGATTTCTGAAAGGAGACATTGCTGATGAGGTTTTCATTTTTTTGGCACTATTAGCACCATAAGCCAAGTGCCATCTAGTTCCACTGTATTAGACAGAAGACAGACATCTCTACACCTGATATCTCCAACACTTGGCAACTCACACCAAAATAATCTAGACTGATAAACAGCACTACAGGTAAGATGAAAAATATGTATTTTTTATTTTGGGATGAACTATACCTTTAAAATCATTTCAGATGAACACATTTAAAACATGAGGGCATGTTGGTGAAAGGGTACTTCAGGTGATCTGACTAGAGCTGTGGGTGTACATGAGACAAAAGAGGCAAGGAGCCTCTGTTCTAGAGGATGTGACAAAAGCAGTTACTGCCATTGATAGCTTCTGCCTATTCAAAAGCCTGTGTTCTTCCTTCACGATGCAGCGTGTTTATTCATAAAGAAATGAAATTCCCTTTATAGGTGTGAAACATCGGTTACATTTAGGCTTGTCATCCGCACAGCCGCTCACATTGTTGGTAATTCAGCACTCAGTACTTGTGGAAATGGATCATTCAAAGCCGGGGCTGGCTGATTGTCTGTATGTTTGTGCTTGTGTTACATATTTGAGATGATAAAGGAATCACAGAAAGGCCTCAACTGGTCTTTTATCCCGTCCTGTCATTTACCCTCTACGGAGAAGCCCATCCTTTTTGGCTTCAGTTCGCTGTTTACGCTGGCAGGCCTGCATTTGCTCCTGCTGCCTGTGACAGCCATTAAAATTAGCTCACGCAGTGCCATAATGGTGAGCAGCTGTCACTGCATAGACAAGGAGGGTAAAGTGCAGCATTACTGGAATGTATTGGACTCAGAGAGGGAAGGGAGGGGAGAGGATAATACCAGGACAATCGTTACTGTCTGGCAAAAGTCTTATTGCCATACTGTGATACTAAACAAACATGCACCGTTTTATCTGCTGAGATTTATTTGATCATGGAGGGAAATATTAAACTTTGTTATCCACTTACAAAAAAAAAAAACTCGTGGAACGAGTGGGGGAAATAATCTCAGGATAATACGCAAGATGGTCCGCTTCATTTCATCCCCTACAGTACACGCTGAACCTTTTTAATGCACGTGAGCGGTGTATTATTTACTTTATGAAAGCAACCTTTGACACATTTGGATAACAGTCATTTTTGAATCTCTTTGCAAACCACAGTCAAGAGTCACGTGCTTGGCCTGTTTGTATTCAGTAGTGAGAGTGAGAAAACACCCAGAGAAGGTCAATAAATACGAGGCAGTGTCCCAAACACCTCTGTGGCTGCAGGCAGTGTTTTACCCAGTACGAGTGAGTCAGGCGATTTGACTTTGATGCACTGAGAGGACCAAAAGGACATCTCGCAGGGGAAATGCATTCAGATCTAAACTTTGAATTTCAAATTAAACTAAATATTCAACTGTTTGGCTGCATAATTAAAATACTGCATGAGAGTTCAGTCTGTTGTCTTCAAGTTGCCATGACTTGTGTCAATACACATATTGATCTTCTGTCCTCTGCAGTCTCTTCTAAAGATTCACAGCAGTGTCAGTTGCCACCAGAATCACATATCACTCAGTCTTTTATTTATTTATGTATTTATTTATTTATTTTCGGCCTTGAAAGATCAATTGACCACACAGAAAGTTGTTAGTGACCGAGGAGGATTGGTGGAAGGTCCCTCCTCACTGTCATTTTTTATAAATAAACATGCCCCTGTGATGACTGGCATGTGACTTCCTGTGTCTGGCTGCAAGTTTGAACTTTTGTAGTCACATGAGGTATCAACATCACAACACCGAACAAGCACATGGAAAAAACACCGCAATCGGGCGTGCCCTCCATCACATGTACATGCAGTATGTACAGTGTGAGCTTCTACAGTGTGTGAAATGCACCATTAAACAGAAGTAATAAATATTACCCACAATGATACACAACTTCTTTTAGTTTTCTCTGCTGATTGTTGTCAAATTGAGCTCTGCTCTCACTGCAAAAAATGCGATAATGTTTTTTAAAAGTATACCATGCAGGATTTTCCTAAAAAAAAAAAAAAAAAAAAAAAACAATGTATAGACTCATATAGAAGTGATCCCTCTCAATCATGACTTATGACCCATGAGATGTGTGTGTTTATGTGCATGCCCAGTTGGTGCTGTTGGTAAATGTAGTCAATTAAAGCAATAGATTCCTCAGTGTGTGCTATATTGACCAAGAACCTAAGTTCTCCTGCTCCCTGAGCCCTGTCGTCAGTGCCCATTTGTACCAGGATGCCGTGCGTGTGAGCTTCTGCCACGCAAACAAAGCATGAGGTGACTCACTTAATGGCCATCTGCCATCTCGACCCTGCTGGTCTCAGTTATCTTTTCCGTTTTAACTTTAGGATCCTGAAGGTCTCCAACAAACCTCTGTCTGAGTGAAAAGTAAAACTTGATACACTCATGGGCTCTTTCGGGGGTGGCATGGTGACAGCGTTTAACAAAAAGTGCCTGTGCTGAAATTCATTGCAGCAGAATGACTCAGTTTCTGTTGGTATTGAAGGGTAATTTGAGGAAAGGCAACACCAGTCAGTGTTTGGCCTCAGCAGCTCAAGTTCTGAAGGCTCTCCACTGGTCATATCCTCTTGCCTGGCTCGCACGGCCGCAGCCTTGTCCTGTCTCCGCTGCATTTCTTCGTCCATATACTCGTGCTTGAATAAATACGGCTGAATATCTAATCAGCCAAAACACTGTGAAATGTATCCTCTTTAGCTAGTTTGCAACTGAAGAGAACAAGGATTTTTGAGTGGCATCTAGAGCACGCAAGCTGAAATAGCCTGTTGCTCTTCCTGCCTCCAATGATGTCACTGTGGCATCAAATGACATCACTGGATGCAGGAAGAACAACAGATTTTGCGGCTGTGAACTTAGCTTTCTCAGTTAATATAGCACACACTGAGGAATTTATTACTTTAATCCACTTTATTTACCATCCACACTGATTGGACATCCATATAAAAGATGGCTAACTTTCCCTTTAACTTTCGGAACTATATAATTCGAGTCAATATGGATGATTAATTCTGTTTTAATATGCAGGCCTTATGGTGTGGAGCACCTTATTGTGCTCACTGATTCTGTTTCTGCTCAGTTTTCAGTCTTTACTGGTAACAATGAAATTAATGACAAAGGCATGTCCCTTCATTTGAATATGAGTAATACTTTGGTCTGAATTGGCTCCCTCTGCGTATTAACTGCGTGTGTGTGGTGACACAACAGGAAAAAGGAAACTGCGCATAACTGAAACAAAAATTTGTATTTGTAACCACAAACAGCATGATAGTCTCGAAAGAGGAAATGCACTTGTTGGCAGGTTTTTTTCCCTCACTCAAACACCACACTTGGTGAAAAATAAACAGCATTTTTTTTTACATCTTTTCCAGTCAATCAACCTTTTTTTTCAGCATTGAGAAAGTAGATTGCATTGCACACTAATTACACTCTCCCTCTGGGCACATGGTTCATCTAATTTGCTGCGGAAACTGCCTCACGTTTACCATTCCCTGCTCAGCATGTATAGACTGTAGGCGACTGCTGTTGGCACCTGAGACGAGAGTAAGAATAAAATAAAGCTGAACCTCTGCGCAGGGCAAAGCCTTCTTAAAAATACAAACCTACATTACTGTGGTTGTTTCACCCCTTTTGCTCTGTCCTGCCTGAACGAAAACAACCCGAGACGCTGTAAACACCGTGAGATGATTTAGTGACCTCCGTCCAGCTGCCTGTCTGAGTCCCCCCTTTCCTCACCCCGGCCCCTTCCCCCCTCCCTTTGTGGCTGCAGTAGTTTGACTCCTACAGGCTGTTTGAGTCATGCTGGCTACTGGCCTGGCATCCACCTTCGCAAGCCACAGCCCAGTTCAGTCTGGATCCAGTCTCATGAAGTGTACCCTGCCCAGCTTGTGTTACTGCTGTCAGGATCTGTTTTGGACTGTTTGGAGTATTAAAGGGGCTACTTCTTTAAGCTTAAAAGTACTTTGCTGTTGTTTTATATCAAGTTTTTATGCGATATTTACAGAGCTGCAGTTTATATAGTAGAAAAGGAGACAAAAGAGAGGATATTCATGGAGTTAATGCACCTAGTTTGCTTCTGTTGTGTGTCAAACACTGAAAGGCAATAAACTAATACAGATTTTTTTTTTAGAATTAAGACGTAAAAGGATGTGTCGCTAATATTTGCTACAGCATTTAGACAAAATTTGACTTTTTTTCTGAGTGAAAACAAAGCTTAAGGCAGTGCTATTTAACATTTTGCAAACCTAATCCGACAACACAGTGATTCAGTTTGCCACTCAAAGCATTACTGGAACTAATCATGATCATTAAAACTCAGTAACTCAAACCAAAGGAAATGTTGCTATTGTGTGTATTTTTGGAGTCAAGTGCATAACAAAATTAGCTATTTTGGTTTCAGTGTTGTGCTCATAATTTGTCTTGTGATTATATTATGTACGTCACGAGAGCAAGATAATTATAAATGTGGAAAAATTATCTATAAATAAACCACTTGTTTTGCTCCTTTCATCTATTCAAGTTATCTTTTATAACACTGGAAACTAGAAGTATAAAGTTACTTATATGGTATACAAAATCTGTGCAAAAAGCCATAATAATACAACTACCACAAAAGGTTAATATAAACTCATATCAAAGAAAACACACTTCGGCACACACCAAAAAGGCAAATGTCTCCTTCCCACAGAGTGTAATCACACTGCTGGCACTACCCTCCAACCTGATCTGACTGATCGCAGTCATCCCATCAACTCTGTCATCATGGTGTTAAACCTTGTGCCACTGCTGAGAGGAGGGAGAGCCGATCTGTAGGCCGGCGAAGAAGACCTGATAACGGTGCTTCCACATGATAAAGGCACCGACGGCACAGACTATTGCTTGGGCCAGGTTCAGCAGGATCTGGATCAGGAAGTAGAGTGAGAGTGTCCCGTTGATGTCCTCGCAGCTGCTGACTCCCTCGTAGATGAAGGTGCGGGCTATTGGGTCGTTTTCATCCAGCGTACACACACAGTCCTCTCCCATCTGCTCACAGCTGAAGCTATTGGCCTGTCTGTGGTGGTGTCCGGCGAACGCCATAACCAGCACTGAAATAACCAGGCCGATTGTACACAGGATGAAGTACAGGAGCTGCGGAGGGCAGAAGACAAAGGTCATGCACTTTTACCCAGAACGCTTTGATCAAAAAACCTTTTCTTCTCTTCAACTGTTGTATTACTGAAAGTCTGGCTCCTGCTTTAGTCTGTTGTCTCATGATGATTAACCCAGAGTGCCAAAACTGTAGCTTAGAAACAGACATGCTGGCTCAGTGCCTGTGGCAAGTTGAATTCAAAGAGATTACCCACAATACTACAAGGCAAGGCCTGACCCTCAGAGTAGGAGCCCAGCTCTTAACGCAGAGGAGACATGGCATATGCAAGACTGCCCTGCAGCTACAGCCGCTTCCCACCTTTAGTACGCGTCCTGTGCGAGCATGTGGAACAACAGAGAGCGTCTAAAAATACAGTTGTAAAATGTGACAGAGGCTTTGTGTTGTTTATGCAATTGCACAATCTCAATAACACTAAACCTTCATCTTAATCCTTCGCTTATATAACAGGAGCCCTCATTCGCTGGTGTATTTTGCTCTCAGTTACATGCTGCTTATGGAATTATGCAAGTGATGAGCGGTGCTTGATTTGAAATGGCGTTTAATTCATTTGGGAACAGCTGTGAAATCTGGAGTATAGGCGGATACAGGAGAAATGTATGTAGACCAAGTGCATCGACAAGTGTTACGTGAACATGATGTACTTTACTAATGATCTGAAAACACAGAGCAGGTAGACACTGAAGAGACTCAACATTTATGTTGCTGTTTATAGTACATGTGTTGTCCTTGAACACTTTTTAGTGAACACTTACAAACTCTGAAAACTAATGTTTGAGTAACTGAGCATCTTGAAACAATAGTAATCCTTTGAAAGGGATCAAAAGCCAGAGACCTTCATCTGACAACATAGTTACACTTAACACCAGAAATGTCTCCAGCATCTACTCACTCCACTCACTCACTCCTTTCACCAAGGGCAGTTTAAGTAAATAAGCAAACTGACAGCAAAGCCATATATTCTAAAGCAAAAAAACAACAACCTATAAGATCATTCAGTATTTTGAATTAATGGCAATCATAAATTAAAGTTTTTAGGGCCAGAGAAAGAGGCACTGTGGGCTAATGGCAGCTGTTCTTGCAACTCATTTAACTTAAAGGTACACTATTCAGGATTGTTGGCTGTGTCTCTTGGATGCCTGCTGCTTACTGTCCGTCACCTGGCTGCTACATTTTTATAAAGCCCTGACGTCACCTGAGTGCTGTGGATGTACACGCCCATAACGTCCCGAACACAGAAAATAATAAGGAAATAAGAAAAAAGAAGGCAGGGGGCAGCATCTCTGCAGAAAAATACACACTTCTAGTGGGCCGTAAGTGATGATTGAGAGTCTATACGTTGTTTCTTGGGGGAACTTCTGCATGGTAGATACTTAATTTGGCTTTATTTCTGATATAACAGTACTTCTGGATGAGAAAGTGCAGAAAAAGGATAAAAACGGCAATCTTAACACTGAGGGCTTAAACTCAAAAAAGAGTAAGAAATACGCATCATTTCGTTAACTTCTCACAAGACAATTTAAAATTTCCAGAGACTGCTTTGCAAACTTTGTACATAAAGATGTTAATTAGGAAAATTCTTGTTATTTTGGTGAGTCAGACAGTCTGATGGTATAAAAAACTAAACAGTACACACACACACCTAGAATTGGCTTTTTATCATGCCTTCCTGCAAAGACCATTTTGCAAATTAGCTGCACTTCTTAAGGCAAAATACTGTTGAAGTGTTTTGAAACCCTGTCTTCACAATCTATGTACATATTTGAACCTGGTATGCACACGAGAGCCAGACTGGAGGGGAAAAAAAGAAGAGGATGCTGCTTCCAAGGATCTGCCTCTCGGTAGCAAACAATGGCGGACTGATTTTAATTGCCTTGAAATTCCAACAGCATATATTGTACGGCTAATTAAGCTGTACAATCAAGTCAGATTAATGAATGCAGTCATTCACTCATAGGAATCCCCACGGAGCTCTTTTAAACAAGAATGCAGTTAAATGCCTTTCGCTGTATGTCATCTACAGTTGCAGTTCCTTGACAGCAGCTGTCTAACAATCACAGTACCTCAGTGGGTAAAACATTGATCTGTGCAAACGTCTTCTCTGTCTGGATCACACACTAAACCTTTGGTCAGCTTCAACGAGACATAGTGTGCATTGATAGAGAGACCTGATTTGACTCCGCACATGACATAACAGAGAATGTGTCAAACAGGGTGTGTCGACTCACCTTGACACAGAATTGCAAAGACGATCTCTCGTCACGGCGGTAGGTGATGCAGTACAGGATGAAGCCCACGATGGAAACTAAACACAGCTGCAACGACACACCAGAAAATATTTGACACAGTTTGGCTAGTTTCACTCATATTGGGACGATAAAAACATCAATGTGATACTCATTTTGAAGCCTTACAACAAATGCCACCAACACATGTATCTGTGTTGCTGCATCTGTACTTTGTTGTTGTATATACCTACTGCATGTGATGTACAGTATGTGTGGTAGATACAGTATAGAAACTTGTTCTAGGAAGTATCCTGTGCCTGGGTTTTCAGGGGTGTCTCTTAATATTGCATGACTCAGCAGTAAGCTGTCATCTGATTACATTACTATCTCTCTCTCTCCCTCACACACACACACACACACACACACACACACACACACGCACAAACACACACTCACTCTCTATCTCCTTCAGTGCAATTGGAGTCTTGTGACTGGCGTGCAGCATCTTATTTAAATGTTTTTCTCAGGTTCTTAAGCACTCAGGATTCTCTGGAAAGTTCTTGATGACCTCAGTGTTTTTCACTTGGCTGAATCTCGTGAGGATCTAACTCGGGATGTTGGTGTCCAGGGATGTTTTCGAGAGCAGATGGCGTCTGTGATAAGCTAGGAGCGGATCCAAACAGGAACAACATGTTTGTTTTTTTTCTATCACCAAAATGTGACTTTAAATCTTACTCTAATTTATACTGATGAGGAAAAATGACCTTTTTTTATTCTTAATATTCCAAATTTCACAGAAATTTCACTTAAAAAAATATTTTAAAATATGCAACAAACAAACAAAAATAACAGCGTAAAAAAGTTACACTTGAACTGCTTTTAGCGTGTCACATGTCATCTGTCAACACACTTCAACTTAATATAGCACTTCAAATTTCATTTCAAGCACTATTATTGTTAATAGATTAACTGGCATTCAAACATCCATCTCTTACTCTTCATATAAAATGTTCACTGCCCTCAACTGATGCTTCAACTGTTTTCAGTGTTTACATGTCCACTGACATTTCATTTGCTTTCATGCCTGAGACTCTAACTGACATTTTAGCTTGTTATATCTGTAACACTTCAGCTGACAGTTCAGCTGCTGTCACTCCTCAAACATTAGTTCAACTTCTTTCATTGCTTACACACAAACTATCACCGAAATGTCCCACAATATTTAGACTGATATTTCACAGGTATGTGCAGCTTTCAGTTCAACTGATTTCAACTGCTGTCAGCTCTAGCACTCTGACACTTCAACTGCTTTTAGTGCTCATGCGCCAACTGACGTTTGAGTTACTTTCATGGTTTTGGCATCAACTACCGTGACCCAGCTTCCTTTATCTCCAGTGCTCGGGCAGCTTTTACTCCTCAACTGTTGGTTTAACTTCTTTCATTGCTTACATATAAGCTGGCAGCTTCCTATAAGGCTTTAATTGAACTTCCACATGCTTTTAACAGGTACATTTTACTGATTTCAACTGATTTCAGCTCTAAGGGCCCTGACACACCAAGCTAATGGTCGACTGTTGGTCAATGTCAAGTTGTCAGTGAACGTCTGTTGTCCTAGTTTAGTGTGTCCGTCATCATTGGCACTATTCATCCCATGTTGGCTGTTTTTCGACTGATTCAGTGAGTTGAATCAGTGCTGAAGATGTCGGAGCCTGTGGGCGAGAGAAATCACTCTGATTTGCAGCTCAGCTCGGTGCAGTGGCTAAAGTCAAGAGGGCGTGATATCGAAACAAACTTGTTATATTACATCAGAATAATTTTATCAGCTCTGAGCTCTTTAGCTTAAACAGTTCATAACATTTGTGTTGTTATTCACGAGTGCACGGTAAATATTGTTTGCTCTTTCAACACTGGGCTGTCTTGTTAATGTGCTAACTGGCTAACTAGCGTCTTGAATCTGTCCTGTTGGTTTTCCTGTTTCCCTTTTTAAAAGACGAATACAGACTACCACCACCTGCTGTTTAGGAGAGTTATTTCCTCTCACGCAGGCACAGAATAAATGTGCTAGTTAACTGTTGGCTGTAGTCTTTACGTTGTGTTCAAGTTCAACTTTTGGCCGAGACAGAGGCGACTGTGACGCAACAGTCTGCCTTTGTCGCCACTAGTTCTTTAATGTCGGTTTGGTGTGTCTTGGCCTCGGCACTTTAACTGACTCCTCAGCTCCTCCTGTCAATGCTTACACACCAGTACATACATTTTATGGAACACTTCAACTCCTTTTAGTGAAATAAAGTAAATTGCAACTTTAGTACAATATTTCACATGCTCAACTTAACGTTTTATGACCAAATGTTCTTTAGAAAACTTGGAACCTTTTCGGGCAATGCAGTTTTGAAATGACATACATCATTACCTATATAAACCTAATTAAAAATATAGGTCTAAAGTTAATCTTTAAGTGCCTTTAAAGTCCAAGGTCAACTTTTGGATGAAGTAAATTAACTGTGTGATGTATTTATGTGTGTGTCTTGATGGTAAGGATGATGCAAGTACAATCTAATCTAGAATGCACATCACATTTGCAAATAATAATAATAATAAGGTATTTAGATGCTACTTCGGTGTTCAAAGGTCAAGCTGAAGTGTAACATGTTGTGATAGGCTGGCTCGTCTCACCAGGCCAGATGTTGAGAATTTGTTGGACACGCAACAAAAACAACAGAAGGTGCAGGCTTGTGTGACTGAGACGGATTGTAGATTCAGGTGTATGCATTCAGATGAATATGACAGATGGAGATTTATTAGAACATGACAATAGCAGTGATTTCCCATGCCTACAGTGACCGTCTGGCTGAGACAGGTGGGTGAGGGCCAGTGTTGGCATGCAGTGTGGTGAAGATGAGCAACACATTGAGGGATTAAATCTTCGGGACATGCAGAAGTATCAGAAATGGAGACTCTGGGTTCATGCAAACATGTGAATGCAGTGGCTGATGTTAGAGCAGAAGGATGGAGCTTACAATGATTCCAGCCCAGTGTGGCGTCTCCCTGGCCAGAAGTGAGGGGCTGATGGCCAACATAAGGAAGGCCACGACTGTGATGGCCACCCCCAACAGCAGCTGGAGCAGGGCGACGAGCAGAGGGAAGCGACAGACTCTGCACTTATGGCCGTCCTCTGGCGCTGGGCTTTCATCTCTCTTCTTCTTCTTCTTGCCCTCCTTCTTGTCTGAGGAACCTTTCTGCCCCTGCCCCATTTCTCCTCCTTTCTTTACACTCTTCTCCTTTTCTGTACTCTCGACTTTTACTGTTGCACTGTTTGGGGTGGATGAGCCTGCCTGCCGTCTGCCTCTCTCCCCTTCCCTTCCCCTCCCTGCCAAAGCCTCCTCTCACCATAAGCCCAGCTCGGCTGCTATTTGGAAACAGAGAAGGCTCTGAACTAATATGGAAAACATTTGGACTGGATTCCTAAAGCGGCTCCAGTGCCACATATAGAGCAGGCAGCACACTGTGGGGGAAAGGAAGAGGAGGGAAGGGGGGCAGGAAGTCACAAAGGGGGATTCCAACATACGACTGTGAGATGATTTCATTTGTAGTTATGTTGAAGACAAGAAATGGAAAGTAAGGAGGCAAATCAGCAGGTATGAGTTAATGAGAAGCCAGCGCAGAGGAGGTCACACTTCATTTGAGAGCCAGGGTGATTGGATCACTCTTTGTCAGCACTGTTACACAAGAGAGCCATATGCTGCCAGCCAGAAAGAGTCACATGACTTACAGGAAGAAGTAATGTGATCATAAGGCACGTGAGGGCATTACAGGGGCTCGGATTTTATAGTGTTTTTGAGCACTTAAATGTCCACAAGAGAGGAACAGGTGTCTCTGACAGTCAGATTAACTTCCTGTCATTTACAAAACTTTTGGGATTATTAAACATATTTTGATGGGAAGTTCTGTAACTTTCTTACTTTTATCACTAGTAAACAAAGCAATGACACCACACACTCACTGACTTTGATTCACTTTTGGGACATTTGCTGATTTCTTTGGATGTTATTTTTTTAGGACACCAAATAAAAAAGTCACAAAACCTCATTTAGCATTTATCACGCCAATATTTGTCATACCATGGTTAATATTTTATCATTAGTTAAGGACACTCAGATGACGGTGGGAGAGCAGCACCCTTGCTGAGATTGATAAAGAGCCTCGATGCACGTGTTTGAGCACACAGCTGGGCCGGTGCCATGGTTACTGACAACGCAGCTTTGAACGACAGGAGATGTGTGAATAGGTTACCCTGAACTCCCCGCTCCGGGCAACAACACGGGGTGGTACACGCGCACCTCTAATATTTGTTTACGCTTAGTGTTTATATGCTTTCACTTTATATTGGTATTTATTGTGTCTTGTTATGTGTGTTGAGAGACCAAGAAGTTCCCAGGTTGTTTTTTTAGTGATAGGGGAACATTTAGAGCATGTGGATTCTCCAAAATTGTGCGCACGATAGTTTGGTGAATCATTAGAGCACATTAGATCTCACAGACTGTCACTTACACTCACAAGACAAGCTCGAGTTTAGTTTATTCTCACGCTCCCGTTTGTGAACTAATGCCTTTGTGTCTCGCCTGTGCGCCTTTTTTCCCTCTGCTACATTTAGCGCATGAATCATGTTTCAGTAACCAGGTTAAAAGTGTTTGGACTACATCGCTATAGGAACAGCGGCGATAGCAGCTTTAACACAGAGAAGGTCTAATTACCGGACTTTGTGCTGGTGCAGACTACACGTGAGTCGGAAGCTGTTCCCTACCGGAGGCGCGCGTGCGCTCTAACCACAGCACCGACGGCTTTGCAAAGTGGCAGCTCAGCTCAGGGAACTATAGACATCAGTCTGAATCGAAGCTCCACTGGAGGACACGCACCGTGCAGCATCTCCCTCAGCCGTCCGTGAGTGGATCGTGGTCGTTTGGGATAACAAACATTTCCCTTAAAAAAAAGAAGCTCAGGAGCGGATCAGCAGCAGTGGAAAAGTGATGGATGAAAGAATACCGCATTTACAGGACAGGCAGTTCATGGAGCACGCAGATTTCTTGGGGTGAGTGTCGCTTTTGGCAAACTCTGTCAAAGTCTGTCAAATAAACTGTTGTGACAACCTGGTGAATAACCGGACACTTTCCTTTTTTGCTGTAGGGTGGATTACCCCTCTCTGTACATGTGCAAATCCAAAAGAGGAATTAAACGTGAGGATGGTGGGAAGGTGCGTGCGATTTCTTATACTCAGGCAATCTAAATATTTAATCCGTGTTTTATATGACCCAACATGTGTGCGTGTGTGAAACTCAGCGGAATTTATAAGTATGACACAGTAACTTTTTACATGTATATTTGTGTTATAATTTCGCCAGCAGGACGCATACAAGTTACCACACCGGTTGATAGAGAAGAAGAGGAGAGACAGAATCAACGAATGTATTGGCCAGCTGAAGGATTTGTTACCCGAACATCTGAAGCTGTCGGTGAGTTCACCACACTACAAAATGTTTTTACGTGCTCAGACCTGGCTTTACATGTCAGAGGTGTCGTTAACAGCCACGTGAACCTTTGTTTTTTCTCTCCTAAGACGCTCGGGCATTTGGAGAAAGCAGTTGTCCTGGAGTTAACGCTGAAACACTTGAACGCACTGACTGCTGTCACTGAGCAGCAGCACCAGAAGATTATTGCTTTGCAGAATGGTAAGATGAACAAAACCCTAAGTTAATAGAAATGTTTTACACGAATTTGAGCTTCTTGGTCATTGTCAGTGAGATTAGGATGCATTAATAATCTGTTTGGATTATTAGAAACTTTATCAGTCATGAATAGAACAATAAAAGGTGTATGTTATATAGAGGATGATGCGCATTTTGAGAGAACGTGCCATTAACACGCGCCTGTTTTACCCCTGGATTATGATGTGCTACACTTTACAGAATAATGATCTCTGAATTGCATGTTTCGCAGGGGACCGGTCGATGAAATCTTCCATTCATGCAGATCTGGACGCGTTCCACTCCGGGTTCCAGGCCTGTGCCAAAGAGGTCCTGCAGTACCTGAGTCAGTTTGAGAACTGGACGACACGAGAGCAGAGGTGCGCGCAGCTCATCAACCACCTTCACAAGGTGCTGGCGCAGTTCCAGCCCGGCGCGCCGCCGCTCCAGCACCAGCTACCCGCCGGGGACGCACAGGATGGGCAGAAAGCCGACAGCCAAGCTAACTGTGTCCCGGTCATCCAGAGGACCCAAGGCGGGGAGCTTAACGAGAATGACACAGACACGGACAGTGGATACGGTGGCGAGGCAGAGAAGAGCGATGGCAAAGATAAAGAATGTGAGCGCAATAAGTCGCAGGGACCCAAAGCGGTGAAGATCAAGCAAGAGTTTGGAGATGATCGCGCTGCCAAAAAACCAAAGATGAACTGGCCTGGGAACGGGTTAGGGGGCACAGACCCCAACAGACCCGACCTGGCGTTTATGAACTCTCTGATGGGAATAAGCAATGTGGGACAGCAGACACCTATTTGCATGCCTTTCTACTTCATCAACCCCTCAGCCGCGGCTTCTTGTATGCCTTTTTTCGACAAAAGCAACATTGAAAAGTACATGTACCCAGCGGCGGCCGCGCTCGCGTCCCCTTTCCCCTGGCTATACCCCGCACACGCGTCAGCAGCGGCGGCCGCGGCTGCTGCTGCCGCTTTCCCCGGCTTGTCTGTGCACTTTGGAGCCTCGTCTCAGTCCAAGGACTCCCACAGTCCAGACAGCGACGAGTCGCACGAGGCTGAGCTCGGCTCACCTGAGGAGCGCGAGGAAAGTCCCGCGAGTGACGACGGGGAGGGCGACGACGCTGACACGTCCCAAGAGAGCAAGCAAAGCCCACACGATCAGTTCTCTGCTTGTCAAGCGAGCTAATTTGTCTGTGTTACCTTTCCGTGCATTCTGCTGAGGAGTTTATGTATTTCATTTTTTTAAAAAAGAAAAATTAGGCTAGTTTTAAAAACGAGGTTTCACACAAGAGTTTGTCATGTACAATATCTTGGCGAAACAGGGGACAGTTGTGACAGCGTGTGCCTTTTGCACTTATGCTAGACTAATCAATCTAAATGATTATCGACAATGATTGACATTAATACACGGCGGTGTTGTGCTGGAGTTAGTTTTTTATCCTCTTTGATAAAATATTTTGAAGTGGCAGCATTGGTGCCAAAACTTTGAGTACTACAACAGTGCGCAATATCCCAATCAGCGAGTCTCTTTGGATGTATGAAGTTGCAACTGACCTCTGCCAAGGTTATTAAGAGCTTGGCTGACTCTGACTGTAAATATTATTACCTGGAAGACAGTCTGATTCATTAACATGTAAATGTGCACTACATGGGCTTATAATAGAAGTGCTCCCAGAAGTGTAACGCCCACAGTACCTCATCCCCCAACTTCACACTGGGTAGGTTGTTGGGAGGCATCACTGTCCCTCCTGAGAAGAAATTAATGGTACCCCCCCTCCCAACACACACACACACCATCATCAACAATACATACAAAACAACAGCTATTCACACATTGATGATAATGAAAATATGGGAGAGCCTGATTGAGTTTACTCTGGTTTCCTTGTGAGGAAAGAAAAAACAATCACTGAAATAATTCATAATAATGGAAAGAAGAAAGCCTTCATTCACAAGGGGCTGCTCGACCAGCATTCTGCACCGTACCCTGAATGAAGCATTTCAGCACAGAGATGCAGTGACCTCCTGTACCTCCAGGAAACATTGTAGGATAGCACCTTATAGATCTTTGATATTGAATGTACCTGTATTTTCCCAGCTGTTCAAAGTTTGTATGTAGGATGATCTTTACTCTTTGAGATGTAAAGTGCACTTTTTTCTGCTTTTACTCCCCAGAAACAGACACCTCATCCTCCTTAAGGTCAATCACTAGAGTTCACTTAAAAACATTCTTCTTGTGTTGTCTTGGAAAAAAAAAATCATTTCAGAGATACCACATGCTTCGTGATGAATCCATGCAGTACAGTGGTGATTAAGTCATTTGCCAGATTTAACAAAAACACTGCTTATTTCTGGCTCTTTCAAGGATTCAAATCATAATCAGATTTGAAAGCCCCGCACCCCACCACACACCAGACACACACCCCAACTCTGTGTTTGACAAAGGTGGGAAAGAAGCTGTGGCCATGTGACCATCACTTTTGATCATTGCAGTTTTCTGAACTTTAACTTTATCTCTGCCTGTTTTTCTAAGAGATTAATTCCTGCAAAGTGTAGTGTTGTTCAGCTTTTTTTTTTTAAGTTTCACATGTGACTGAATAAACAGATGATTTTCATTGTATTTTGCATACATGACATTGCTTTTGTAGTTTACTTCAGCTGGTTTTTTGCCTCAAATCTGTTATCAACTGTTATATAAAG